GAACAACTGATAGCAGCACAAGTTGCAAGAGTGGTAGGATTATAGGTTATCAATGTTTATTGAAGACATACTTCTTCATTTTAATGGCTTTATTGGTACTCTAAAGAACATATTGGAAAAAAGTGGTGAGATTTAAGGTAGAAAATAAAGCACGTGTGTATCCATTAGGGATTGAAAGATCTGCTCTGAAAATAGATATAATACAGATAATGTAATTAGGATCCTTAAATGGGTATAATTATTTTTTTCATTACTTGACTTCATGTATTCATTTTTCAATTTCAGTAGAACATGCTCTTCTAATGCCTAGTCTTTTACAGATGTCACATTCCCTAAGAAGTTTTATTCTCCTACCATGTGACTCAATCATTGCACTCCTAGGATTTTACCAAAAAAAAAAAAAAAAAAGCACAGCATATGCTCATATAAGGCTTAGACACAAATAAACATATGTTTATAGTAACTTTACTTGTAAAAGTAAAGAATTGGGAACAACCCATATATTAATCAATAGGTAGACAAACAAATCATGGTATATTTTAGTTAACTATTTTAATTGCTGAGACAAAATGATGGGCAATTAAAATTAAAGGAGGAAAGGTTTATGTAGCTCAATTTGTAGACATTTCATTTCATGGCAGGCTCCAAGGCAGGATGGTATGGCAAAGGGGCATCACAGAGCAGGCAGGCAGAAGGCAGTAAGCAACGAGTGACACTAGACCTCTCTCTGTCCCTTATATTTCATCCAAGCTACCTGCCCTTAGGTAGTACCCACACACAATACCCTTAAAGCTACCCAGAACTATACCAAACTAATCAGTAGACTAATTTAGTAATCACACACCCTTAATCCCAGCATCACACATTCTAGAGCCAGCCACCTCTGAAAAGCCCACTTATGACCACATGAGGCTTGAGGGGACATCTAGACAGAAGCCATAATAGTATATGCATACAATAGAACCCTAGGTAATAAAAGGAACAAACTACTGATAGATGCAATAATATCAATAAATTTCCAAGTAGTTTGTCTAAAAAGCTAGACAAAAATTGAGCAGTGTGTGATTCCAACTATATAACATTTTTGAAAATGCAAACTACATTGTTTCAGAAAGATCTTTCTTGGCATCAGTTTTGGGTACCACTGGGAGGATGGATTACAAAGGGCCAGGAGGATAATTCTGGAGATGACAGGAATGGGTAGGTGATTGTGGTGATTGTTTCGTGAGTATATACGTTTCAAACTCACCAAATTGTATATTTTAATTATGTTTAATCAATTATACCTCAGTGAATCTGTTTGTAAAACTCAGGGTTACCAGGCCCATAAGGTGTCCATTTCTTCCATAGGACTCTGTGAATGTTTCAATTACATATTCTCAAAAGGAATCATCTAAATAAAGAGAATCCAGAAAAATGCCAGCAAAATATTGATGTTCCCCATTTTAATATAAATCTTTTCCCTTATCAAACACCTAGGGAAAAACTAAAGTCTATATATTTAAATTACTTTTTAAGTTAATGTCCAAAGACCAAAAAAAGAAAAAAAAAATCAAATCTCAGAACCAAATCCCTTGTTACAAGGTTAAGAGTTCAACAAAATTAAAGTTCTTCCCAGTTCTTATTATTTCACAATCAGAAGTGTTCTTACTGCCTCAGTACATTCCTTCAGCAGCTGCAGCCTAGGTGTCTTTCTTTAGAATAGATATGACTAACTGAGCGCCTCAAAAGTCAAATGAATTCAACATTAAGTCTATGATGTACCTCGACTTTTAAAAGGCCTGGAGAGTTAATAAAGCACTTAAAGTAATCACACTTGCCTCAAATTAAAAAGTAGTTACTGTGTACAAAATTATGCTCCCGGAACCCAGTAGTTGTTATTGCCAAATAGAACATGAAGCAAAAACTGTAGAAACTCACGGATCTGTAAGACAGTGCTGACTTTAGCTTGATTAGAGTGCTATTCACATCACCTGCACAATTAAACTGGAAGACATTTGTCAGCAGAAAGTCGTCACCATGTATCCAGAATTGTGCACTGTACCTTCTCCCAGATGGTGGTATTTGAGACCCCAATACCATTTTGTGCAGAATTTGCAGTGGTAACCTACCAATCAATAATCTCTTTTGATTTGGCTCTGAGCTTTCCCATCTAGAATATTCAAAATCTCTTTATATTCAAAACTTTATCTTTAGCACTTCTATTCAGTGACTGGCATGAACAATTTAGACCTTAAGCTTCTCTAGAACTCTGTGTTGCCTACAAGACATCTGTCTTGAATATTAAAAGTAGCAAATACCGATATAGTTGTTAACATTTAGCATTATCTAAAAATATTTCCTTTTTCTGTCATTAAATCTTTGCCATAAATGAAACTGCTTTCTTCTATGAAGCATCTGACGAGGCTCCTGCTGTTCATACATGCATATTTAATGTAGGTCAAGGTCACTCCCCAGCAGCCTGCTGCTGAGGCTGCCCACCCCTGCCAGCTCCTTTCTGGATCATAGCACAGGCAATGCAGCTTGCTAAGCCTCACCTTGGCTGACATCTTGAGGCCACCCAAGAGGCCAGCATTTGGGTGAGCCTCACTCCTACATTCTGTGCCTTTGCTCAAGTCTGCATCTTCATCACCACCCTAGCCCCACACCCTTGTGGAGGTTTGCACACCACTCCTTAAAGCTCAGTATTGCACTCTGCCTTTATAGAAGAAATAACTATTTTCTGGTAGACAAAGCTACTCCAAATTTCAGATCAAAACTTCATGTGCCTTAGGGCTTCAAGCCTTTTGTCCCAACTGCAGCGATTAAAAGCCTACTGCACATTTATAAATATCAAACACAGGACCCAATGAATCATCCATAAACTACCAAGCTCAAAACTCCCTGTGTACACATTAAAGTCTGAAGCCTGAAACTAGCCTCTGGCTACTCTAAACCCTCTCCATATGTACACTTGCTTGTTTTTTTATTTCTTGATGTACTGGATCCACGCAGTAACAACTTTTTAACTTGTTGCATTCCCCACAGGCCTTCCTTTGTGTCTATCCTCCTCTTAACCTTCATCAACAAAGTCTATTTTTATATTTACAGTATGTCAATCAAGATTTGAACACTCAGGCTAGATGGGTGATCCATGCCTGCAGATAGCTGCAGCTACCTGAAAAGATGAGGCAGTGGAATCCTTTGATCCCAAGGAGATACAGGGCAGTGTGGGCAACATGACATTCCATCTAACAAAAAAGAAAAAAGAAAAAAAAAATAAATAAATATATATATATATATGTGTACATATATATATATATATATATATGTATGTATGTATATATTGGCCAACAGCCCAGGTCTTCCCAAGCTTATTTACATAAATTACTTGTAATCTACCTCAGCAAAAACAAGTGAGACAGTAAGCCCATGAGTGTCAGACATTTGGAATTAAAGGAAAACAGGAAAGGGCAAAAGGGAAGACAAGAAAGGAAGAAGTACAATCAAGATGCCACTTGTATATGCACCAATTCCCCACACTGAGTATAATTATGTATCATAAACATATACCAATATGTATATATTTTTAAAGGGCTGGAGATGTAGCTCAGTAAGAAGGCCCTAAGTGCAATCCCCAGCACAAAAATTTTATATAAATTAGGTACAATGTTGTTTTGAAATATGTACATATTATGGAATTCTAAATTGAGCCAGTAAATTTCTGACAAAGAAAAATGAAAGCGTTATCTCCAATTAACAAACAGTAAAAGCACATATATTGTTTGTACTATTAAGGTATTTCAATATACCCAGAGCTATTTTTACTTTTGTAATTTTCTTCATTCTATCTTCACCTTAATCTTTTTTACAACCTTGAAGACTTTTACCAAATGCCATTTCACACATAAAATTTTTCTATTTCTTCAAACAAAACCTCTTTCCTGGGGTTACAGCCTGATCAATCACAAGTCACTGGAGCTGTTTATTAAAACACATATTACTGAGCCCATTTAGACTATCCAAATCACTAAGGACCTCAACTGTGCTTTTTGATGTTCCCTGGGAGATTTTCTAGAACACTAATCTGAATTTTTGTTTTGTATGTGTCACTGATTACTTTTTGCCTTATGACACTGTCACTAAGCCCCCATAAAATCCTTGGAAGGTTCCTTAATACAGACCATCTATATGGTAGCTACTCAACAAGTTGTTAAAATGAACTAATTTTTACTTTTGTATCTCTAAAGGACCAGATCTCCATGTTTTGTCATGATAAAGTACCTAGCATACAAACATGAAATTATAAAGTTCAATTAAATCTTTTATTACTCTGCATCATGATGTACTATCTTCAGCTGTAGCCAGATTTTTGCTTTGAGCTGCTCAACTGCAATAACTGTAAATCTCTAAGCATTAATTTCCTATAGAATACAGGCTGTTTCCTAAAAATGTCCTGCCATACTTCCAAATAATAAAATCTGTAGAATACAAAGGTTCCCTAAAGCCTTCATACAATTTCAGATTGCACTGGATATCATTAAAACTCATGCATTGTTATACAGTTTGTATTGTACAATCCTCTTGCTTACAATGACTATAGTCAGGTCATTCTCATTTTGCTACAATCCAAGTGAGAATCTCTCAGCTCAGGATACCACTGAGGTTACAGGGTGACAATGGCCTTGAAATACAGGCTCCAGCAAACTTTATTCCTGTTGTGATAGGTTTCCATCATTATTTAAAAGATCTTACACTATTAGCTATGTATTTCCATGTAAAGGAATGTTTATTAAACCCAGATTCTCAATTCTTAAGCCAAATTGCTTTATGAAGTCTACCTTGTTATGGTGGGGACAGAAGGTAAACCATTCTCAGGTATTTTGAAAAGTCATTTTTATGTAAGATGACTTTAAGATAAATAAAACTCCAAAGGAAATCTCTGCCTTCCTCATATGTAAAATGAATTTAAAATCCATACACAGGTCTGTATCACTGAAATGATTCATTGAAAACTCTGCCTTATTTTCAAAAAATTTTATTTCATATAAATTTTATACATGACAAAAGTATGCTTGAGCTGTCTCCCAAATAGATTTTTTAGGTTCTTCAACCCAATCTTCCTCCAGAGGCAAATAAATATAAAACCAGCCATATTACATCAACTATACATAGTAAAATTTTTCTTTTACAAGAAAAAATATATTCGCACATCTTAGCAGTTCATGTTATGTTGATAAATTTGGCTTTTTGAGGGACTATCCATTTCCTATACATAAGAACACAGTAGACATTCATTAGGTATTTTTACCCTAAAGGACAAAATGTCTTATTTAACTTTTTTCTTGTATTTTTTTAAGAAGATACTCCATTTGTAAATTCAAGTTCGGCTGGCCCTTTTTAGTCCTTTTGCTCAATATTTTGAACACTTCCATTTTTTTCTTTTTGTGGAGCCTTTGAGCTTCTTCTCTCTCTTGTTTTCTCTTCTCAAATTCCTGAAATCATTAATATAAGTAACTAATTAATCACAAAGAGTAGATTCATTTCAGAAATTGTTTTGCAATAGCTATCATCATGCAAACTTTCTAAGGTTTTTGTCTCATATTTTATAAAATGTGAGTCATTTCCCAAATCTGAAGCAATGCTCCATTTGCCTCAGACTATAAGTATACTTTTTATAACACTGAATAATAAAAATTACATAATTTTAGGCATTTGTATGTAAATAACATCAGATCAAAGAAGATAGAATGCATCTACTTATATAATAATTTCATTATTTAATTAAATCCACTAAAACTTCAAGAGGATTTTTAGAGGTTAACTAGTCTAATGCTCTACATAACACTAAAAACTTCATTTCCAGAAAAACCTACATCTGGTGTCCTTTTTAATCATCTGAATTACAGGTTTAATTAAACAAACATTTATTGACTACTTATTCTATATGTGTAAAATATTCTGCTGGACATTATGAATTTTGACCATTTAAAATATATCATACTCAGGGCTGGGAATTTAGCTCAGTGGTTTTGCTGCCTGCTGCACAAGCGCAAGGACCCGAGTTCAATCCCCAGTACCAAAACAAAAACAAAAACAAAAAATAAAATATATCATACTCATTTGATCTAAGATATTCAACTGTGAGTACAAATAGAATTCAAAAGTACAAATAATACTTAAAAGCCATTATTCATATTGTACTATATTATTCATACTAAACTAAAAAGTTGAAAAAGATCTTATGTAATAGTTTTTCAATTCCTCCTGCAACAGAGGTAGCCTCCAAACGACACTAGACAAATGTAACCTATTTACTTTATAAAAAAAGTTTTCACTTGAATCATATGTAAAATCACAGCATATTGCATTCTTTAAAACCTTTTCATGCTAGTTGATTATGTTCACCTTACAGATGAGGTTCAGCTCAGCGGTAATGAAAGGAATTTACTCAAGGTCACCAATAAATGGTAGGGCTGGACCTTATATCCACAATTTTGAAGTCCCCATCATGATATCCTCTATTACTTAAAATTATATTCTTATGGTGTAGTATTTCATTTATCTTAATAAGCATATAAAGATCAAAAACTCATTTGTAAATTCAGGTATATGAAGCACAGTTTATCCCTAGAAGTTACACTAAATAAAATATACTTACCATCGACTTTGGGTCTGTATTTAATACTCTTTAAGAGTTTTGATTTCCTATTGGCTTTTATGTTAATATTTAAGAGCTGCAAGTGCTAAGAAACTGTTAATTTTCATGATTACAAAGCCGTACTGCTCTATAACAGAAATTTTAAAAGGACACTATAAAAGCATATGGTCCCTATTGCAATTCATCTGATATCCTGATGGACAGTATAAAAGGTGTTTAGAAAAAGTTATGATGGAAAAAGCTATAAAACAAAGGTCCAGTATTTTCATGGAGAAATATCTGTTTCATCTTAGTCTGCCTCTGGATTAAGATCATAAAAATTTTAGATATTAAACTCTCAGTTTTCTCAACTACACATATTCTAAAGCACAAACATAAAGGAAACTATAGGGGGAGTTCGTGACTGATAAGTGATAGATAAATCAAATGTTAATATAAAAAGCTATCCACAACTTCTACAAGATGAAAATTTTGTTGAAGCTATAGATAATTTTATTTGTTTGGAAAACTCTGTTAATTCTGTTCTGAATAATACAGCGGCAACTTTCTGCTAAGTTAAACTAGTTAGGTTTTTTTGGCAAGATCAACTCTTAATATTTTATTCTAACATCTCCCCTTCTGGCTTTTACTTGCTTCAAAGTAAATTTCTATTACTGATGAGTAATAGCTTTTAAATCCCATTCTTGACCTATGGGTAATAGAGATATGAGATAATATAATTAAGAAATTGGAATGATACAAATCTCCAACTCTGCTTAGAGTTATCATTCACTCAAGACATCACTATGTGCCCAACACCAAGAAGCACATTTTATATACACACTTAAGATAAATAAGAAAAAATGTATCTAAATATTTTAAAAGTAGAACTTACTTGTTTCTTAGCAGCACGCTTAGCTTGTACCTGCTCATATTCTTCTTGTGCTTTCTGATTGGATGTTTTCTTTTTCTTTGGAACAGTCATGGAACTTTAAGACAAATCACAAGTGTTAGAAATGAGTCAAAATTCTGAAGAAATGTGGTGTCAAATATAGTATTGTATAGTAAAATCTCACCAATGTAAATTAAGGGAGGGAGACGAGGAAACTATAATCTTTATCATTGAAACGTTCACGTAAAATATTCAAAACAGTTTCAGCTTTTAAGATTACAGATCAACTAATGGTGTGGTAAATGGAGATTCTGAAGGAATATTTAATCAGTGAAAATATACAAGGCTTTGAAAGGTCCTAAAATGTTAAAGAATTTAAAAAAATATTAAACTGAAAGTTATTATGGAAGTTGTGGGTATAAACTTTAATCGAGTTCTTTGAACACCTTGTCTCTATTCTACTTCATCTACTTAATCATGAATCACTGCCATGTTTTGGACCTAATCTCCACTTAGAAGCAGTTTTCTTAAAAGTGTTCATCTCTTTAAAAGTCTTCCTTCTGCCAAGGCTAACTCAATCACTTGGGGTTTAACTTATTTCCTCAAGATACCTGATCAATAATGTTTCTTTCCTTGTCTTTCAAGTTTTCACTATCCTCATGCCATAATTACAATATAACATACTTCTGTAGCTTCCTTGTTAAACAAAGCATTATCAGATTCTGGGTTGTCTTTTAACTCTTAATCTTGTTCTTTAACTTTTCATAGTCACATTTCCAGAAAGAAAAGATAGTCCAAGACTCTCACTTTCCATTCAAACAGAATTAACTATTAAAAATCTCTCCAAAGTCACCAATGACTGCCTAGATCACAAACCTAAAGATCTGTTCTCAGGCTTGCTCCCCACAGACTCTATGGTATTTAATAGTTGAACAATCCCTACTTTCACAGCATTCTTATGCTGACTTAGCTGTCACTGCATTCCCCCAATTCTCCAATTTTGACAATTTAACTTCTTCAATGATAACTTTTCCCGGTTTTCATCTCAAAATAAAAGTTTTGTAAAAATACACTTATTTTCTCTTGTTTTCTGATTTAACCCATCTCATTTCAATCATCACGGAGAATGACTCAAATGTACATTTCTCAAGTTTATCTTTTCTCTGAGCATTATGTACTATTTAATGATAAGACTACTAAAACCATTGGACTTTTAGCATCTCTGCCTTTGTTCCCAACTATACTTTTTCCTGTGGTCCTATTTCCTGTTATTTTTGCACAAGTAACTCACAACTTTAAAGAGCAAAATTTCAGTGAAGTAAAAAATTATGGTCCCAACTAATGCCTGGTTTCTCTGCAAGTTTTGATCTTATCACATTTTTATTTGATATATGCACAGAAATATTTTTGTAAGTTAGCAATTATAAAATTAAGTTGTTTGGCTTTGTAAGCTGGACAAATGGAGCTGTGCAATGTTTTGGTTTTTTTAAACTCCAACTCATTTCTTTTCCTCTGCAGAAAATCCAGTTTGGTGACATGAGGACTATTAGTAACACTCAGAAGCACTTACCATGTATTATCACCTTTTTAAATTCCTGATATAAATTAACTCATTCATCACAATGTGATGAAATACTTCAGGAACAGATTCACCTGAGTGAATGATCTTTTCTGGAGCTGTGGAGCACAGTGGCTCTCAATTACGTACTTATTCTTCTTACTTTAAAACACTGAGACACCAGCATGTTAAGTCTGGATCTACAGTCCAACCTGTTAATGACTACTCTCTTAAAACTTCTCAAAAATTATTTTTTAAAAATACTAATGCTAGAAGTTAACAACAGTCCAAGTTATATGTACTTCAGAGACAGAAGTCAAAAATTCAGGTTTTAATTTTCATATTACTTCTTCAGTTATGTTAAACTGACTTAATTTAGTGAAAGTTAAAAGGATCCCATGAAAGTATGCTCACCTAAATATAATGGGACTTCTAAAATGTGATAAATAAGAAAAATTCCAATTCCTACACAAATTGTGCTATAGTATCTTTCATAAAACACTATGTATATTTGAAGCAAAAGACTACAGAAGAAAGCACATACTTTAATGTTTTGCTACGCTGCTCTTCTGGCTGAGGCTGATGACATTGTTCTTCAGACAAAGCATGGTCAACTCTACACTGTTCTTCAGGCAAAGCCTGGTTGACTCTTTCTTCTGACAAAGGCTGTTTTCTTTTCTTTAGTTGCTTCCTAAGTCTTTCCTCTTCAGCTAAATAGAGATGTTTCAAGTGATCTGGGTAGTGATCTGTGAATTGGGATTCCTGTGATGTTCCAGCCTTCTTTTCCTTCCATAGCAATTTCTTGTAATTTTGCTGAATCTTCAGTTTTCTCCGAAATGCAAAGCCTTGTCCTACGTTGAAGGATAGGGGTCAAAATTTGTGCAACAGAATATAAATACAGCAAAAAATCAATAACACTTTTCACAGTCTCAATTCAAATGCTATAAGTATTTTATTTTGCTTGGAAAGATTGGGCCTGGCAACGGATTTAAGACGACAGACTGAGTAGCAAGTCGATCCTTTAAAAAAAGGCTAAACAAAAAAAAGTTAAAATTAAAAAATTTAAAAAAGGTTAAACTTAGACAACAGACACCCAGGTAAAAATCTCAACGAAAAATTGATCAATTAAGATTGTTGTACTGTAGTCTCAAGTCAAAACAAATTTCTTAGATCATCTAAAACATAATTTGGGTCTGTAAAAAATATTTAATAGAAAAAAATTATCTATCATTTCATCTCGGAGAAATTTACTACAAAACTTATTTTCGGAAATGCTTCAACTAACAAAGACTGTGCGACTTTGTGAACAGCCAGCAACTATCATTAGACTGAAGTTATTTTACATTCGAAATGGGACCTCAAAGACCTTACAGAGAACAAAAGACTAAAGGGTAGGAAAGACCGGAAAATGAGACCCAAGTTCTGCTGGACATCTGTAATTACTGGGGCTTTGTGACAGTCTATTACTATCCCATTACTTCGCCGCAGCAATACAGACGCAAATGCTCATGCGTAATAGCACACACCAATGGACCGCAGGAGCTCTCTTTACGGTTGTAAAGGGGGAAAACAGTGATGAAAAAGGGCTTACGGCGGGGAAGGCGTTTAAAGTCTGAAGTGAGCAACACTGCCCGTCTTCCCAACCAGAGCTCCAAGTCCACGGCTTCCGCGGATTTGGTAACAGCTTCTTCTGCCTCAAGTGGGACCCGATCCACTTCCTAAAGCCTCCTTACAGCTTAGGCAGGTCACGCATCCTACAACTTCGTTGGCCTGGGAACTTAAATGATGGGTCTCTTACCCTCGCGAACGCTTCCCACGAAGGCCTGTGGATGGTTAGGCCACCAAGTCCTGCGCTGCACATTCTTATTCTTGAATCCGACTTGAGATGCCCCCTCGCCTCGCGAATCCAAACCTCTATTCCGCAGCTTCGCCTCCGGCCTCACTGGCGCCATCGTGCATCAACTGCGCTGACAGACGACCCCACGGACGCCCCTAAAGTACGTCACCAGGCTGAAGCAATCGATCGCCCATCCCGAGTCCGGCTCGGAGCTCTACTTATTGCGCCTGTACTACCCCTGACTGAGCCGTCGCCGCGCCGCCACGTTTGCGCCACCTACAGCCCGGGAGGTGAGCGTCATGGCGGCCTTTGGCCCTCTCCCGGTGACCCAGGACCTGTCCACGCTGCGTGCCAAGTTGCAGGGTCTGCTGCGATTCCTGAGGGACGCCGTGTCCATTTCCAACGCACACACCGTGGACTTCTACACAGAGTCCGTGTGGGAGGGGCTGGTTGACTTATCTCCGGAGACTGTGCTGGCCGTGCTGAGCAGGTCGGCGGCGCGGGCGGAGGCGGAGGCCCAGCCTTCTGAGGCGCGCCCCCTGGTGGAACCGGAGACAGGATCAGGTAAATGGCGGCCATGCAGGAAGGGAGGCCAAGGGGGAGGTCCCGGCCTGCAAATTGTGCCCCCTGGTGGAAGCCGGCCGGAACCGCGGGAGCGGCTGGTGGCAGCGGGGCGGAAGTGGCGGGAAACCGTTTGGTGACCGCATTGGGGGAAGGGTGGGGCCGGACCGCCGTTCTAGGATCACTTCTCTAAGCGTTGTGCTTCCGTAGTTTAAGGAAAACAAGAAACTTGGCAAGAGCCTTCGTTCATTTAGCAGTTTTATAATATTTTAACTCAAGGGAAAGCGAGGAAGAGTTTTCTCGCAGGGTTTATAGATTTTCATAGGAACGTGGCAGAAGATAAATCAACAGTTAATGAAATAAAGATAGTTGGACATGGTGGTAATGGTCGAGTAGAAAATGAAAACAGTATAATGTGATAATAATTGTCTAAGGAGGCTGCCTAAACTTGGAAGGTCCGGAACTGAAGCAGGCACCAGTCTACAGAAATCCAAGGAAGGAATTTCAGGCCCTGGGAGCCTCAGACTCATTTGGCAAAAGCCAGGTGAGGGGCAGAGGCCCGAGTCAGGGAGTCGAGCTGGGGCCAGATCACGCAGAACTTTCTGGGCCTTATAAGGAGTTTGGATTCTAAGAGTGATGGGGTACTTTTGGAGTCATTAAGCAACATGGTGAGCTCATCTAATACACATTTGGGAAAAGATGACTCAGATATTTGAAGCTTAGACAACCTGTGGTGCTTTAAAGAAATAAGCTGAGATGCCAGTTAAAAGACTTAATTTCATTAGCACAGGAAAGAGGTGATGGTATCTTGGGCTAGGATGGAAGCAGTGAAGATCTTGCATATTCAGTAACAGTTCATTTTTAAAACTGTTTCTAAAATATCTGTTACATGCCATGAATTTTTGAAGGCTCTGAGGTTTCCTGCCTTCAAGACACTTAAATTTTACTAAGATGTGTAATTTGGAAATAGAACGACCAAGAACACCAACAATGACCAAAAGAACACCAACAGCTCCTGAAATATTTCCTAGCTTGCTCTTAGGTTTTCCAAACTTTGCCCTTGCTAGGTTCATTCCTGGAGATTTCTATAGATGCAGAGCACCCCTGGAGGGAACATTTATAATAGCGTTTGGTAAATATTGCTTCCTTAATGTCACTGTTTATTTTTGAAGGGTTCGGCACCTCTTCAGTTTGTGCTTATAATATCCCGTACTTGTGCTAACACGACAACTTTTTACAAAAGCAGAAAACACGTTTGTCTTGTCAACTGATGTCTTCTCAGCACCTAGGAAAATACTTGGTATCCATTAAGTGCTCAGGAAATATTTGTTGAATGAATGAATGAATGGTTCTTGTTAGCTTTCAAAAAGCAAGCAAGAGAAAGAAATACCACCATTAAATAGAGTCCCAAGATACATATCATCATCATCATAATTGGAATAATTATTATTACATATTCTGCAATGTGATGTGTTTTAATGGATATTTTCTGTTTCAGTCTTCACATCAGCCATGTAAGATGAGTTCTGTTACTCTCAATTTATAAAACTGCAACTGAAGTTATTTGCCAGGGGAAACTTTAAAACTGACTCATTTGGCTCCAGAATCTGACCTTTTCATATCCATGACAGAAGTCTACTCTGAATTACTTACCAATTAATTGCCAAGTTCATTTATTATCAAGGTTATTATGTAATGGTATTAATATTTCCCTCAATTATTTTATATTGTCTGCTTTCCCCTTCAAGAATATAAGACTATTTTGTTTACTGCTTTATCGTTCATGCTTAGAACAATGCCTAGCTAGCATAGGTTAATAGGTATTATTCTGTCAAGCTTAATGAAATGAATGAATCAATTTGTTCTCTTAAACTGAGAATAAATGCAAACATCTTTTGGGAAAAGTTTACAACCATTTTTTTTAATCTGTCCAAAACAATGGAATCTACATTGTTAACCTTTGAATGTCTCTAGACCTAAAACTTTCCTATACAAAATATTCTATTGTACAAATTGTTAGCTGCTTCTAGTAGTAAAAAAAGAATACATTCTTATAATCACTGTTTATACAAAGTCTTAATTTTTGTTTATGAAAAGATAGCTTTTTTCCCCATCACTATATGAGGTCCTTTATTTGTGTCAGAGATCATTAGAGTCTTTTGACTAGATTTGTGTCTTATTAAAGCATTGTTAGCTGCTATCAACAGTATGAGTTAGCAGTTAAATTTGTAAAATGTGAAGTCAGAGTTCAAATTTCCCTTCTACCTAGTACCAGTTCTGTGATTTGGGGCAAATTTATTTTTTCATTCAGCATTTACCAAATGCCAGGTATATCCCAGGAACTTTTACAGAAGTTGGGGAACTAGCAGTAAACAAAACAAAACTCTTCCCTTCATCTTGCTTGCTTTCAAGGAGGAGGAAATAGGCACAAAAGAGAGAGAGAGAGAGAAAGGTTGTAAGTCCCAAGGATAAAAATAGATAAGGTGGAAGTAAATAGAAAGAAGTAGAAGAGGAAAATACGCTTTCTTTTCTGTAGGTTTTCCTGGAGAGACTTTATTGAAGTTACTCTGGAAGGAAAGATTTAACTGAAGAAAAAAGAAAAAAAGAGCCATAATGGTATCTGGAGGAAGAGAATTCCAGATTGTGAGAATAGGGAGTGCAAATGCCCTGAGGTGGGAGAGTACACAGTGTGTTTAAGGGGAAGCAGGAAATAATTAACAGGATTGTGTTTGAGGTCAGTCAAATAGAAATATTTGAGTCCTGTTCATGGCCCTCCAATCATTCCCCTGCCTACTTAAGTTTTTAAAATTAGGTCGAGGTGTTTTGTTTGCATTGTATAAATTATTACCACTCTGAATCAGTGAGGACCACAAATGGTAGAAATGAATTTAAACTTACTGCTATTTGAAAGGAAAGGATTGGCAATCCTTGGGCATCTCTTGTATGACCTCAGCAAAGCCAGTATTCTTCAAAATTTGCTGCGGTCATTAATAGAGCTAAGATAGGTCAATCACCTCTAAGCTGTCCCGCCAAGGCACATGATTATTTTTATATTCTGATTTGTTTTTGCAAAAACTACTCAGTGTTTTCTCAGTATAGCAGTGAGCTAGGTGTTGTGTGTGGATGCAACAGTGAAAGTGTAATCTCTGCAAAACTATCCAGTACATCCCAGTGGAGGAGATAAAAGACACCAGTAATTGTATGAAGCAAAATGAAAAGATGAAATGTTCCACTGTAAGCAGAATTTTATTCTATTTTCTTCACATTTGATATGGTCTGAGAATTATATACTACATTATTATACTTTTTCCTCATTCATATATGAAAATCCTGTGCTCTTAAGCATTACCCTGGAACTGCTTTTTTTATATAATTTAATTTCCAACTATTTGACAGTGTTTTTATCCAAAACAAGTTCATTTCATCTTCCAAATAAGTTTTCAATATTTTCTAATCTTTGAAATTAAGAAAGTGTATCTCTGTTGTTGAATCGCTTTCTAATTTTTAAAAATTTCCCTAATAAAATTCTATTCTCTCACCCCCACAAGTCAAGCTGTTCTTCATTTATTTTATTCTTCTCCATGTTTTTTTTAAACTTTTTATGCCATTTTGGTGGGAACTGAAGTAATCTTCCATGACAACTATTTTACATAGTAGGCACTCTCAGTTAATTTATGCTTTACCTAATTTATTTTTATTTAGCAAATGAATTTCTAAGTTTTTGTTTCTATGTATATTTTCCCCTCAAATTAAGCTATAAAAAGAGTCTGTTAGAGTTTAAATACTATGTTAAATTTTTCCATTTTTAAATTTGATTTCATATTTATAAAAATGTAGTTAAATAAGAAAATACTTTTGGCATGGTTAAAGGTACTTATATATTCAATGTGATGTTAATATTGGAGGCTGCCTAAACTTGGAAGGTCCGGAACTGAAGCAGGCACCAGTCTACAGAAATCCAAGGAAGGAATTTCAGGCCCTGGGAGCCTCAGACTCATTTGGCAAAAGCCAGGTGAGGG